AAAAAATTTTAAATAGCAAAAAATGAACAAGCTTAATTGATTAATTAAAAATATTTCTGCTAATTAAATACAAATATGGGTTAGTTAAAAGTGAATAATATAATATAATGGTGCACCTAATGGCACGCCATGCACCAAAAAGTTTTAGTGGTGCATCAGTGACACGCCATTAGATTATAACTGCACCAGCAACCCTAGCCGCAAGACTGTTTCTGCATTGATTTTTGATATGAAACCGCAGTGGTAACTCAGCGGTTTCATATCAAAAATCAATGCTGAATAGTTTCTACGGCATGTATATTTTGTAGGTGGATTCGAAATTCCATAGATTCAGAATCCATTTAAGTTAATTTCAAATCCAGAAATAACTTAGGTCAATTTCGATCTTATAATTATCAATCATAAATCATACGTATCTAAAAGAATCGTACTACATTTTGAAACATTTTCAAATTAAATTTTCAACCCAAGAATATCCTTTCAAGACAAGTTTTTAATGAATTAGTTGAAAAAAAATCGCTTGCAAGACGTAAAATTTTTATTTACTCCGATTACGAACTTATTATTGCGGCACTACATGAGCCTATTAATACAAAGTTGGGAACTCCAGAAGGTCGATATTGGATTAAAATTCTTTCAGCTACGAGAGTTGGAACTGCCGTTGACTAGGTAGTTGTCAAGATATCTTTGCTCAAAGTTTTTAAAAACGTACTAGATGTAAGACCCGTCGTTAAACGACGGGTGCTATATAACAGAATTTTCATATTATAATAACCTTTATTTGAGTTGATAAATAAAAGCAGTAAAAAAATTTATACCTCATGGTCACAAATTTGCATTATTTGCTAATGTAAGTTAATTGGCTGGGTAACTTAATTAGATGTTTTAAATCACCTTTTAAGAGCGCACAAATACAAATACAAAGTTACCCGAAGGCCTATTATAGCTCAAACAAAAGTTTTTAGTCACTAAGCATATAAATCTTCCTCTTAGTTGATTTAGAAAACTAAAATGCGAAGTTATACTGCAGAGCGAAAGAAATTGTAATGATTTTGTCCAAAACTCTATGAAAATTAAAAAAAAACTTATATTGCAACTGTTTAAATTTGAACATTTTAGTACTAAATAATAAAAATTAAAATTAGAAATCTGGTTGTATCTTGTAGTGTATTAGGGTTTGCAACTAAAAAAAAGTTTTTAGGCGATTCGTAATTGAGCATTAATAGTCTAGTGAAAAGAGTTTGCAAATTATATGTGCGGCCTATGTAAAATATTCGATTTAACGATAAGAAAAAAAAATTACGCATCTAATAACCAAACTTCAAAATTAAAATAAAATTCAAGCACTTTACTATTTAATAAAAAAATTATGGACCCATATTAATAATAACAAAAAATCTTTATGATTCTACAACGACTTTAATTATTTTATACTAAAATTATTAAACTACAATATAGAATACGTATTAAAAAAAATATTATGGCATTAAAAATTTATTGCGAATGCACGTGATAGTAGCTAATATGAGAGAAGCAAAATATGAGATTTTTATTTAATTTGTGTATTGATGGTCAGATTTATTAATAATCACGGGTAATTACAAATATCTCATGACATCATATATTGTAAGAAGCGATAACTTTTTGGTTAATAATTTTATTTGAGTTTTTTTTTACTAATCTGCTACTTAAAATAAAATTCCTTTGCTTGTCAAGTTTTCTGAATATAGAATGATAAATTTTCAATCTTAACACTACTAAATACACTATTACTGTATTAGGATATTGAGCAACTACCACATGTTTTAAAATAAAAGTATTTAATTTTTTGTTACTGAATTGTTACATAACATCAGTGGTGTTGAACATCATAGTCGCTATTTCTCAATAACTGTCTAAATACCCAAGGACCGATGAAAATGTTTAGCATCCAAAAAACCTAACAACTTTATTTTTAGCCTTACTTTTTAGTATGCAACTTTTAATTTTATCTTAACTTTTTAACCTTATCATTAAATAATTACAACAAAATACATATATATATATATATAATGTTCAACACTACTGGTGCAATTTATAATAATTGTTTTTAATATAAACCATATTTATTTTATAAATATATAGATATTAATTCATATATAATCATAGTAAAATTCTTTTAATCTAACTCGTAAGAACAGTTTTATAAATTTCATATAATGTGAAGTAGTGATAGTTAGAAATTCAAATTTATGAGTTTATTGTAAGAACACATTTTTGAAATATTTCTGGGTAAACAATATTCTTAGTGCAATTTAGTAAACTTGAAGTGGTGTGTCCAAGAAAAATTTGTAACTTCTGATAAGTAGTGATGCACGAACATGCGACATACAACTGTCTGTGTGAAAACATCAGCTTGGGTAAATACAACCCAACACAACTTATTGTCTGTTCTTGAGACTTGTGAATTGACATAGCAAAAGCAAGTTGATACAAAAACTGATATCATTTAAAAGTAAATAGCAGAGAAGCATTCATTAGAGACAATTTGATTCATGGTAAGAAAATCTTTTTTCTTTTAAACAGTCTATTAACATGTTCTGCTTCAATAACATTATTTTGTAATATTTTGCAAATAAGTCTCATGCCATTACAAAGACCTTTGTTTGTATTGATATTCTGAAGTAAAATAATTAGTGGTCACACTTTCAAGATTAATATATGAGATAGCAACCTACTAAGTATTAATGAATTCAGAAATTCTATTGAATACATATCTTTATATGCTAGATTATACATAGCAGCACTTTGATATAAAAAATTTGCACTAAAGTATGTTTTTGCTTTTTCTGGGAATTGTGATAGAATTTTAGCGTTAAGCATTTTAATATCAGAATTACATGGTGCCAGAATGCTTTGCTTTACAATATAAGTTGAATTAAAAACTACTGTCTACAAGATAGTATAAACAAAATTGATTAAATTCTAATAAGATTCATCATGCATAGTGATACCTTGTAGTAAATTTATGTAACTGCTATTTGGTGTAATTTTAGATATTTGTTTATTACTAATTAATAATAGCCAGTTTGCAAAGTCTTTTTGTATAGTAGCTTCTGAAGCATCTAAAGAATTTATAGCACTATGTAATTACATATTAATTGTTAACTTTCTCACTTTTATATATTGTCATAAATGCGAACAGCAAAAACTTGTATTAATGATATCTTTACAACTGCCTTTTAGAACCACTAGAAGAATTTGGCAAAAATTATTACTAAAAATAAATACTTTGCTACCAAATGATAAGTTTTCAGAGTGTTGATCAACTAAGCTATAATATCTTTTAAAGTACGATCAATAGCTTCAAGTATGTAG